CTGAGATCCATCCAAAACAAGACAAATCGAAGTGAGATAGTTCGAAGAAAAAAAGAAAAAGAAATCAACATGGATTTGCATCAGCTGCTTCGAAACAAATTATAAGCAAGAAGAGTAAACATCTAATAGATATCAGCGTGTAAAATATGTGTGCAGGGTATAAAAAAATTTTTGAAGTATTTTAATTAAGGCCAAAAAATATACACAATTTGTCGGAACGCCACTTGAAAAAATGATTTTTCGGAATTTTTCCTCGAAGAAAAATGAAACTTGAAAACTTGGAAACTACAGAAATAATTTTGGCTGAACTTAATTAAAATATCGTGCAAAATTTCATGTGAATCATCGGCATAAAATCGGTATGAATAGAACAATGTGTTTGGTGCAGTGTAAATTAAGAACATAAAAAAAAAAAAAACTGAAAAGAAAGAAACAATCTGTAAATGAAGATCTAGTACAAACAGGTTAGTCATACAGAACGTCAGAAATCGGTGTTAGCTGTAGCAGGACAAAGTGATGAAATAAACGCAGAAAGGCTTCAGAGCTTTCCCAATGTTTCCGAAACATGCATAAATCATGACGAAGTCAGTTTCCAATAAAAGAATTCCGGACCTTTGTCGATTAGCTGGAAGTACAAGCCAAAATGGATTCTCAGTAACTCTGTTTTATCTCAATCAAGACAGCCGAAATTTGTGGACTCGAGCACCTGCTTTGCTTTATAATCCTGGCTGATCATGAAGATCGGATGACGAAAAACTGCTTCCCTTCCCAAAAGCAAAATGTAATCTTTTCCATTTGATAGCTAAAAAAAGTGGGGTGAAAATTCCGGAGAAATGAAAATTCCAGGTAAAATCCGGAAAAAATCGGAAAGGCTCGAAAATGATGGTTGTTCCGACTTCGTCGTGACAGACAAAGAATGTATGTAAAAGAAACATTCGCAGAAATTGGCCACAGTTCTAACGTTGAAAAGTTTCGTGTACAAAAGAACATTGCTCCAGCCTACAGATGTGACATTTAAATGTGCAGAACACAGTGATCATAAAAATCTAAAAAATCACTAAAAAATTTGGGATTTTTTAGAAATACAACGAGAGTGAAAGCGAAATTTTTTTTGCGGTAATCAGATATAAAAAGATTTCTGAAGAGTTTCAATACAGTATTCTTGAAAAATTTGCGGAAAAAAAAATTGTGGCAAATGGAAAAAAATAAAATTTCACGAATGAAATCTATTCCATGAGGCTTAAAAAACTTTGAGAGTGTGTTTCACGAGCTAAAAGTGGAACTGAGACTTTTGGTACTGCTCGCGAATGAGGTCTGCATGCTGTAGTAACGTGTATCATCGCTGTGCGGTGATGCTTCATTGCTGTGGGCACCGCTTTTTGAAGCAGACGCTCGGATACGAGCAATGTGCTTGGCAATAGCGCCCTGTTCACGTCTTGGTGTACTATCCCGGGAGCCTGGTGATGATATGTTCCTGCCAGCACTGTCGCTTTTGCTAGAAATATTCAATGAACGCAGCGTTCTTTCTTTTGCTGTGCTTTTTTTCATTGCCAAAACACTGCCTGTCATCGCAGCTCGTCGCCAATGACCTGAAAAATGAACGGAAATAATTAAGATCACTTGATTTCGTGTATTTTTAAAAAGAAAAACTGGAGTTTTCGTAGCAAAAAACTGCGTAAAATTATTTATGCAGGAACAAAAATGTAAATA